GGGAATAAGCATCGGCTAACTCTGTGCCAGCAGCCGCGGTAAGACAGAGGATGCAAGCGTTATCCGAATGATTGGGCGTAAAGCGTCTGTAGGTGGCTTTTTAAGCCCGCCGTCAAATCCCAGGGCTCAACCCTGGACAGCGGTGGAAACTACCAAGCTGGAGTACGGTAGGGCAGAGGGAATTTCCGGTGAGCGGTGAAATGCGTAGAGATCGGAAAGAACACCAACGGCGAAAGCACTCTGCTGGGCCGACACTGACACACTGAGAGACGAAAGCTAGGGGAGCGAATGGGATTAGATACCCCAGTAGTCCTAGCCGTAAACGATGGATACTAGGCGCTGTGCGTATCGACCCGTGCAGTGCTGTAGCTAACGCGTTAAGTATCCCGCCTGGGGAGTACGTTCGCAAGAATGAAACTAAAGAAAGGCAGGACACTAGCTAGCTCTAACCACACCTTTAGCGATAGCTTTAGGGCCACCGTTAATAAGATATTCGCAACTAAAAAGGGGCTTTTCCGTCTTTCGGGGAATCCAATCAAGAGAGCTAGCTTCGGTCTCATGTAGCTCCCTAAGAAAGGACGGAGCTGTCGAGTGAGGATTCCCCGACGAGGGGCCCTTGGGCCTAAGGAATAGAAGGAATAGATTGTAGCTGGGTACAACTAGGCCTAAAAAGACGAGTAGGCAGGGTCGACGGAATTGAGCTCTTGCTATCCTTATCTTTTACCGGAGTTTGAGCCCGATTCTCAGTTAGGGAGTATCCGTTGGTCCCTATCCTTCGTGAGAATGGCTTAGCGAACCATTCTTTCGTTAAGAGTTCCGCGCTTTCCCTCTTTCTCTTTGGCGGCATCGTATAGTAAGATGAAAACAGAACTTCTTCGAGGCCCGTTAGGACCAAGAGGCTGTACGTAGAGAGAAGGAAAGTCTATTTTTCCCAGAGTCTAGCTAACTCTAACCCAAATCAATCTTGAAGAGGTTCTTCTTCTTCAGAAGCCGATTCGGAAAGTGTTAAGTACCACTTTTGTTCTTCCATAGAAAGCTTTTTCTATGAAAGCAACTCGGTTGACTGAGCTTTCAAAGCTTTCAAAGAATAGGCTCCTTGAGCCATGCTACTAGACTTTAGGCATCTCCTCTTTATATGAACATTCACAAGCAGAGAAGCTGAAGATGGATAATTTTCAACCGCGGATAAGCTTTCCGATGATTACTATATTGTCCATTACATTACCAATAGTAGCTTTGTCGACGACGATAACTGGAAAGCTCCTAAGATGTCGGCTGTTCAATGGCTGCAGCTATAACAGCTTGTGCTCGTATTCATATGTATCCACACATTTCCCGACCTGACTGTTACTATACGGATACGGACTCAATAGTTCTAGGAAGTCCTCTTTCTGAGGACCATGGAAATGGGTAAGTTAAACTCGAATACCATGTCAAGAGAGGAATCTGATTATCACCAAAAAGTTACTATATAGAAATGGAAGAGGATAGACATATTATTAAATTATTTATTAAATTATTAAACACAAGGGTCCTGCTAAAGATTTCGTAACACCAGAATGGTTTCAAAAGCAATTTGCGGAACCAACTCTAACGGAGCAGATCCCCATTCAAGCTAATTTCCGAATTGATTGGAAAAAACTCAAGGTTGTTCAAAAGGATATATCTTGAAACTAGGACTACCACAGGGTTCGAAAAGAGAGAATGTCTATGATTCAATAATGTGTGGATAGACACACGATCTAAACATGTAATTGACCTAGGAACTCAAGATGCAACTACTATCTTTAAATATGAGCTATTGAGGAAAAACGGGGAAGTCTAAGTACATATGGCAGTCAGTCCACTACTGAAGGTCAAAAGACCACTACGGATGGTCAAAAGACAACTACTGAAGGTCAAACGCTACTGTTCAACCAACTCTCTACAATACCAAGGATAAGAAGGACCAACGACGATCTGATACTTAAGGAAAAGGAGGAGTAGGAGGAGTCAGTTTTCTTTGAAGATCGAGGCGCTTTTTAGCGGACAATTATGCCATTCTACAGAAGTATTCTACAGAAGAAAAGCCTGTTACGAGTAAGTGGAGAAGAAAGATCTACCGAGATTCTTATCTCATTCCATTCCAGTGGCTCAACCAGTAACCAATGGCGAAAACTCAAAAATCCATGGTTTCCCGGTAGAACCCTATTTCGCCCAAGTTGTTTCGGAACCGGAAAAAAGAAGCGGTTTTTCGCGCAGCTTGCTCATAGTGCGGGTCCCACTTGTATATTGTATTTGGCCGAAGAAGCATCAGACAGGTTTACGTTCTTACCTTCTTGGGACTCCATGGACCAAGATCTTCTTTTATTATATGGTCAATATCGATCCACTTTAGCAGATCATATGGATGTAGAAAAAGCTTCAGATTTGGATGAATTGGAAACATCTCTTTTCCATTTCTATTTACCCAGTTCATATCTTTCTTTCGTGTGTTCCCGGGAGGAATTCGATCTCTTCA